ATCCAAACTATTCCTATACAGTTTCAACCCCTCATTACATCACCATGTCATCATTTCCAACCCAACATCCCTTTCTCCTGCTCCCCCCCCCCCCCCCCTCACTCCTATGTTAGACTTACAACCCCCCCCTCACACACACACACCAGCTCATCTTCTTTGCCAACACAAAGCTACCTCTGACTCAGTTCGTGGAGAGCAACCACAAGACGTTTGTTCACCTGTTCATAGAGAACCCCGCAAAGCCCACGATGTATGAGCCCATCCCCGCCCCCATATCAACACTGTACACTGTGGACCAGCTCTACAGTCAGATCAACTTCACCGTCCACAGAGTAAGACTCAGTACAGTTTGGTCGTTTGGAATGGGCTATCGTACGATCAGGTGTTTTTTCAGGCGTTCGTTACAACTTTTGAGGAATGAAACAATTCTAGTATACCGAGCGATTGCACTTCAGTGCTTTGGTAATCTTGGAACTGTGGATATTTTCCCTCTTGTATTTTCAGATTGACCTACATACACGAAGATTTCCCCGAGTGTGTATATACTTTTTCAAAGTACAATCGACAATGGCCATTGTTCTAGTATTGCCGTTTAAGTGTATTTATGTTCACGTGGTGTGTGGTGATCTCCCATAGTATGTTCAGGTTTTTGTTCATGAATTTCAATCCTTGCCTTGTATGTAAATAAACAGTCAGAAGATGAAGTAATAATCGGTTTCATTGTTCAACCTTATCTCTGATGATATGGGTAAACAGAATAAGTACCCTGTACCTTTACTTGCATGAAGATGAAATGGTGTGTCGATTGCATAAACCTGTTCCTTGCAGTACTACCACCTGTCGGATGAGGCGCTGGGGCAGTATGGCTACTCCTGGCGGGACAGTAACCCTTTCACTGATCTGAACGTTCTTCACATGGAGATTCTCCAGTTTGATGACAGCTCCATTAATCCCACCACCAAGACCGCCCACTTTAGTCACGGAGAGCACTGGCGTACGTCCCACACATCACGCCCCTAGCTTATACGTACCTGTTGGAGCTGTAGTTAATAGCAGTAAGGAACCTTGTACTGTATATATAACTGGAAATGCAGTTATGGTGTATGTACATATATAGGTCCAGGGCCTCATAGATGAAGGTTGTAGACTCATTCCTGGTCCCGGGGTCTTTGCCATTATAAATTTGGCAGTTTTGTCACAACTTGTCTGTGTAAAAGGATTTGGTAGCCATTGTTGCTCATATTGGCTTAGAGGTTCAGTGGTTTTCATCAAAGTGGAACTGCAAAAATCCTGTCGTTTTTTCAGGTTTTTTGGCAGAAGAAGCTAGAGGCATGTAAACTTTCATGATGTACAGTAGTTACTCTCAAACCAATTTATGTAGCCTGCAGTTTCACCATCTCTAATATTGCCCCCCTCCCCTCCCCCCACAGATCAGTACATGTCTCTAATATTGCCCCCCTCCCCTCCCCCCACAGATCAGTACATGTCTCTAATATTGCCCCCCCCCTCTCCCCCACAGATCAGTATGTCTTGAATGAGGATATCAGCTCAGGGTTCTTGAACAAGTCTGAGTTGAAAAGTAACCTAACCAGGTACTATACGTAGCATTACTGTTAACTCGTTTCACGGGACACTTATTTCATTCTGAGTATTTGTCTTAAGTTATGTACATGCCTTACTGTCTGTATACCATGTGAAAAACTGTATATACTTGTAGCTAGAATTGCATGGCCAATGACTGATTAACACAGCACGAAAGCAACTCATCCCATGTTTGCACCATGCTGAGGTGTATAGTTACGGTTACCTAAACATAAAACTGGCTGATCCGTGAAGATTTTGCACATGAAAATTATGGCGTAATTGCTTCAGAGAGATCTGCACCTTTTAGTTTGTCGGTTGGTTGCACATTTTCACCCCATCTTATGGAGTCTGTCAGTGTGCTATATATGATGTTGACTCTTCTCCACAGTATCCAGAAGATGAAGATAGCGTTTGACCTCAGCTCCATTTATGTCAGTCAACACACTGCTCCAAAGTGCTTTCTATTTCAGATTGAGGTATCTACAGTATATTATACTGTACATATACAGCTTATTATGTACATACACGTAGGAAACAACACTTGTGTTTAGCACACTATGTAGTTGAAAAAGAATGTAAAGAAGTCGATCAAGAGAGAGAGAAAGAATGCCAAAATATCTTACCCCTTATCCCTTATGCAGTTGTTTTTCAACTGCACGGCTTGTGTAGTACCATTCCGGCTACTATACATGTGGCGTTTTGAGTTTTTGCTTTTAGTTACACACAGTTAGTTTTTGCTTTTAGTTGGCTTGTGTTTTCTGTTATGCAGACATGCAACGAAAACCTGTTTTGTTTTCAGCTTAGTATACCTTTCGGTCTGGGTGATGTTTTGTTTTCAGCTTAGTATACCTTTCGGTCTGGGTGATGTTTTGCACAGATCTTTGCCTGGTGTTCCCACTACCATTAGAATCTGCTGTCTACTATCGCAGTGTGTCCTCTGAATTTTTGAAATACCCCCAGATCATGATAACCAACGACATTGCCAGTGGAAATATGCCTGTGTGCATGACGCTCAAGACCCAGCAGAGTGCCTGTCATAACCACACCAATGCCGAACCAATTGGTACGTACTGCATGTGCTAAATGGTGCTTTTGAATATCTTTTCTTCCGTGTTCTCTCAGTGAATAACTGTAGTGCAAAATTTTCAAGGCCCATTGCTTTTTTGAGACGTAAATTCACGAGAATTATGGTCATAAGGTGAGAAGGAGCTGTTAGTACTGCAGGCATGGGTAACCATCTACTGTCGCAAACCGGCTGATCCGTTGCACCTCCAACATTCGCTATATGGGATATGTGCTTGATAAAGAAAGCTTGAAAGTGCTCAAATGAGCAGCAGCTCTTTCGATGTCCATTTGCACTACGTCTTTATACAGTACTCCGCTTACAAGTGATGAAACCTTTGCTTCACTATTATCTACCTCCTCCACCAAAAGGTGGAAGTGATAAACTACAGTGGAATAGCGATTCCCACTTAACGCATTCCTTACATGTAAGCTGGTGCAATAACGGGTTTGTTTCACTATCAATTGTCCTCCCTCCTTCTTCCCTAAAAGGTGGCGGTGATAAGTACAACATGATCGGTCTTGAAGCTCTTGACATCTTTGTCGGAATATTTGCGACCATCTCCACCATCATGCACCTCCGTTCCCTAGTCAAGTCGGCCTACTTTGCCCAGATAGTGCGGGCCTTCTTCCTCCAGAAGTTCAGCTACAGACTCAAGTGGAAGCACCTGATGCCACTGTTCAATCTCTGGTTCACGGGAGTCATCCTTGGGAACTGCCTCGCCACCGTCGGAGCACTGCTCAGATTGATCATCTTTTTTGAGGTGAACCTCTCTCCTTCGCTCCTTCTCTTCCCCCTCCTCTTTCCCTCTCCCTCCCTCCTTCTCTTTCCCTCTCCCTCCCTCCCTCATTCTCTTTCCCTCTCCCTCCCTCCTTCATTCTCTTATCCTTCTCTTTCCCTCCCTCCCTCATTCTCTTATCCTTCTCTTTCCCCTTCCCTGCTCCTAGCTCCTGCCCTCCCTCTTCCTCCACCTGCTCCTTTTCTAACCTCCCTCCACCTCCCTACCGCTTCTCTATTTATGCTCCCTCCATTTATATACCTTCATTCCCTTTTTGTCCTTCTGTTTTTCAATCCGTATCCCCTCTTAATCCCCCCCTTTTATCTTTTTGTGTAAAGGGTTACACACGTGTGTATAGTGGGACCTCTAAAAATGGACACGTTGGGACCAGGCATTTTGTCCTTTATAGGGAGGTGTTCTCTCTCTGGAGGTTGAAAATTTACTAGATAGTGAACGTTTTGGACCTCAAAGTGTGTCACTATTGAGTCATTTTATCGGAGGTTCTACTGTACTTACATACATACGTGCATATGTATGAGAGTGACACACTGTTTCTTCCCCACAGCCGTCCACAGACTCAATGAACATGGTTGACATTACCAGCATCATAGTGGGCCTGGCGGTGTTTGCCCAGTGGTGCGGAATTCTCCGTTTTCTCAGCTATTTCGACAAGTACAACATGCTCCTGCTCACTCTGAGGCTCTCAATTCCCCAGTGTGGTGAGGTTCTTTGTGTGTGCCGGGATCCTCTACTTGGCCTTCCTCTTCTGTGGATGGCTGGTCCTGGGAGCCTACCACCCTAAGGTAGAGTCTGATATTCCCTTTTTTTTTAATGTTTGTTCATCACTGTGATGTTTTTGATATGCTTTTCCTTCCTGCTTTATAGTATCAATTTCCTACCCTTTTTCTTTCCCTCTAAAGCTCTTACAGTTGCATCCCCTGTACCTCATTTTCCTGCTCTATACTATCATTGCTCCTAACACTTTTCCTCCATGCACACTCCCTCGCTCTACCCTTGGTGGCCTGCTGCCTTCTACTTCACTTTCTGTTATTACAGTGGGGAAAACAGCAAAATAACTTGTGTCAAGGGGATAAACTGTACAGGGGCACAACACCCTTGAATGTCAGCTACGTATGTACGTAATAAAGATGCCCAATCGTCCATTACTTACTTATGCACACCTATGTACATAAATGTCTCTGATGTAACCAGTGAAGAAAGCTATCCATGCAAGTGCTTACACATCTCTCACATTACTCTGCACTCTGCAGTTTGTGGATCCCAGCACGACCTCAGAGAACCTGTTTGCTCTCCTGAACGGAGACGACATCTACAACACTTACCAGGAGATGTCTAGAGCCTCCTTCTCTGCCTGGATCTTCTCCAAGGTGTGTAACATCAGTCGCAGTCATACCCACAGACGCTTTGTTGAATGCGTGTTCAACCTCGTATAGAAGTGGGTCCAGAGGCAGAGTGGCTGCATAGCTCGAATCCCAACCAGTGCACTTTTTTAATATGTTTATGTTTTTCAACTGTTTTAGACACCCTTATTAATTATTCATGAGGGCAACTATAGTGGCGTACCACGTGCACGTGTTAAACAACTAAGCATCTCCCCCAGCCACAGTAGCCAAATAGGAAACTTTGAGCGGAAAAAACTTAGCCATTTTCACACGTAGTATATGTACTTCCTATCCGCTAACAAAAGAAGGCATCTCCCCTCAGCTCAGTATAAAGCATAGTGTACATATATACTCTTACTGAATGGCAGGCTTTTGCAAATTTTACTGTTTGGGAGCTATGGTTTATATTAGCAACGTGAGCTCCCTGAATGTTTCTTGTTCGTCGTGCTTTTGAAAGTTCACTCACATCTGTCAAACTAGTAAATTGCCGACTGCTATATATATTGCAATGTTCAAGGTTGGCATTCACTGTATTACGTAATAGTGGTGCCATATTTCACATGTTTAATTGGGTGTGTGGAGTTCACGCCAAGTACAAATTATTAACACCAAGTGGGAGGACTAATCCAATGAGTGGAGACGGACAACTAGGCAAAGACGTAACTAAGTGTGTCTCCATTTTGTGTGCTTAGTCTCTCATCATGGGAGGAGTGGGGTGTGTGTAGCTTCAAAACTAGGCCTTCCTCCCTCCTCCACATGCACATGCTCCGTATAGTTATTATTACGCGTGGGAGTATTTTCGGAGGAGAAGGCCTGGACGATTAATTATCACGTGACGCGTGCCGCGATCTACATAGGATGACGTTTAGTTCGAGAGGGTGTGGCTACGCCAGGATTCTAGCAAAGCTGTGTTAGCCTTACGTCACAGAATTCGAACAGCTTTGTGGCGTAGAATGACGGTCGCGGCACGCATCACGTGATAAAATCGTCCATGCCTTCTCCCTCCGAAGATACTCCCAAGCACAGATAATAACCTACGGAGTACATATTGTGTGTCGGCGTGCGAGGAGGGAGAAGGCCTGGTTTCGAGGCTAGGGTGTTTGTGTACGTATGGAGGTGCTACAGTTTATGGGGTGTGACCAGTAGTGACAAAATACCCGGCAAACGTAGCTAAACTTTCTATGCAGATATGATTTTCGCATTTACATGTTGTAGCCACGTTTCTGCACAGGAGCACAAAGAGATGTGCCATGGGGACGATTTCTATATTATGAAGTCCTCTGTCAAGTCAGAGGAATACTAATTGAAATAGTATTCCTCTGATTGACCAATCAGATTTCAGAACTCACTAGAGCCTGGCTCTAAATACCATCTAACTGGTGGCCTTCGATCAATTTTCTTCCACTCTCACCAGTGGAAGTTTCATTTGAGCTGTACATACCAGGGTCGAGCTATCACAAGGATCCGAGGCCACCGACATTTTAGCAGTGGAGGTTCCATTGTAGCTTTAGCAGTTTTGCGTTCACAAAAATCAGGCGACAAAAGGCGACCTACGTGTACATTATAAAAGACTCTGCAATTCTTCCCAAGCCAAGTTTGAATTTCCTATTGTACAGTATTTTCATTCCCATCGCTGCAGGTGTACCTGTATACATTCATCTCCCTGTTCATCTATGTTGTGCTCAGTGTCTTCATCTCTCTCATCTCTGACACCTACGAGACACTCCACGTGAGTCTGATACCATACGGTACATACTGTATGAGTCACATACCATACATACTGTATGAGTCACATACCATACATACTGTATGAGTCACATACCATACATACTGTATGAGTCTAATACCATACATACTGTATGAGTCACATATATACCATACATACTGTATGAGTCACATATATACCATACATACTGTATGAGTCACATACCATACATACTGGTGGAGTCACATACCATACATACTGTATGAGTCACATACCATACATACTGTGTGAGTCACATACCATACATACTGTATGAGTCACATACCATACATACTGTGTGAGTCACATACCATACATTACTGTATGAGTCACATACCATACATACTGTGTGAGTCACATACCATACATACTGTATGAGTCACATACCATACATACTGTATGAGTCTAATACCATACATACTGTATGAGTCACATATATACCATACATACTGTATGAGTCACATACTATACCATACATACTGTATGAGTCACATACCATACATACTGTGTGAGTCACATACCATACATGTATGAGTCACATACCAATACATACTGTGTGAGTCACATTACCATACATACTGTATGAGTCACATACCAATACATACTGTGTGAGTCACATACCATACATACTGTTATGAGTCACATACCATACATACTGTGTGAGTCACATACCATACATTACTGTATGAGTCACATACCATACATACTGTGTGAGTCACATACAATACATACTGTGTGAGTCACATACCATACATACTGTATGAGTCACATACCATACATACTGTATGAGTCACATACCATACATACTGTATGAGTCACATCCATACATACTGTATGAGTCACATACATAACATACTGTATGAGTCACATACAATACATACTGTGTGAGTCACATACCAGTACATACTGTATGTGTACCCTGTGAAAAGGCCATACACACTTCCTAATATACGTAGACCTTCAAAAACCTTCAATAAGTTCTTCCACTTACGAGGAGTCGTATTTATCCTTCTCTCTGTGCTCTCCCTTTTTCTCCTCCTACAGGGAACACTGGAACGTGAGGTCCAAGGGACTGCTGCTGGACTTGCAATGGCCAGTTGGGCCGGGGTCCGTGCAGCTAGGGCCAGGGCCTACAGGGCACCGGGACTCCACTGACGATGAGGATAAGGACTACGATATGATTAGGGTACACATATCTCCTCTTTCTCTCCTCTCTCTGTGTATCAGCTGTAAACACCCTCTTCAGGAGGGGGCGAAGCGAGGGTCAAGGCCTGGTTTCTTGCGCATTATTTAACAGTCACATGCCCCTCCTGTTTACATGTCACATATTTAGGCTCATGACATGAGAGTCATCCTCAACCAGCTCGAAGCAGTATTATTAGAAGTCCCCAATTTCAACGGAAGTCTGTATATTACCAAGTTTTATTGTTAGATGACCCAGCATAAGCAAGTTATAGCCAAAACATCAGTTACTTGCCTGAGGCTGTTTGTTGTTGTTTACAAACTTGTAGCGAGAGAAGAATCTAGTAGTAAGGAAGCCTACTGTGTGTGCTTGCCTCGTTCTCCCAGGCCTCCATGAGAGAACAGTTATTGCTGATGCAGATGTTGTTGCCTCACTTCTGACCTTGTGGCACACAGACTGAAGACTGTGACTTATTATACTACACACCTGAATCTTTCTCCCAACAGAACTTGCAGAGTCCTCGCGATAATGGAGCGAACAGAGGGAGAGAGGCAGCCTCTGCTGGGCATGGGGTGGGAGGGTGTGTGGTAAACTGCCCTGCCCATTCTCGAATCACCTCGGTTTGCTCGTGCCAACCAGAGTGCAGAGTTCACCATTGCGCGACCCTCCTTCACCAACACAAGACCCACCAGAAGGTATCCAACAACAGAGAAGAGTATAAGCATGATGACATGTCTGTGACCAGACCCCACCCACTGATCACGTGGAAGATCTCAAAATCTCCAATCAGATAGCCAAACATGTCAAGTCCTTTCAGTACCAGATTTCGCATCAGAAGCTCGCCCTTGTGACTTAAGCACCTGGGCCCCTGTCCCAATTTTTGCTCAGAAATCTCTGCACGTCATCTAAAAGATTGCAGGAATCTGTATATATACAAGACTACATGATCCACCACCTCCTACTTAATGCATGTATATACATGTCTTGTGTTCTGCGTCGTGTCTGGAGTTACCTCACTTACATTTTACCATATTCTTTTACCCATCGTCTTGTCAGCATGGCAATCTATTTACTTGTGTTTTTGTTTCTCTCTACCGCAGTTCCTCTCCATACTTGAAGACGGGACAGGTAGTACCCTCACACATTGTATGTATAATTATAGCTCATGTTATAGAGCTTTTATTATTTCAAGTTTGTATAGATCGGTTATACTATCATCCATCTTCGTGGGTGTAATAAGATATCTTTAGCGCACGCGCGATTGTTTAGTTCATTTACCATCTCCATAGAACGGGCACGGCTGTTCTGACTGCCACCCAACACTTTTGCCTCCCAATAGGCTACTCTCCTTCAGTGGAGGCTACAAACGAAGAAGAAGAAGATTCTCGCACTCCATAAAGCTCCAAATCTTATGGCATTTCTGGCTCAGTGTAGGTCAGTACAAGTGCACAAACATGCTACGTTCGTAGTGTACAGAAAACCCCAGAATATAACGATGTTTTGATATTTATACTTGTGCTATTGTTGTGGGTTTCTGCGTACATCACTGTGCACTTGTACCATGACCTAAACTGAAGCCGAGAATACTTTTAAGAGCGTTACAAGGTGTGTTGTAGTGAGCTCGTGAGTGACGAGTGTGTCGCATGCCCAGGTTCGAGGCGTATGACCTTCGCACTCCCCGAGTGGAGGGGAAAAAGAAAGGCCTAGCTATTGAGGTTGAGACGGAGAGATTTGTGCTGCCACTCCGGTCATGAGCTTGCAGAAAAGGACGTTGGAGGCTTTCAAGCTTCTCGGGGTGGGAGGAGCTGCCAGAAGACTGGTTGGGCGTGCTGGGAAGAGAACTTGCGAGAAACTCACCCCTCCCTTCGCAGGTAGGCCTATGGTTAGTATGGCCTGTGAGGGAGACGTTCGTGCGTGTCCCTCAGGTTCGAGAGGATGTTTGAGCGTGCGGACATGGCGGGCGGTGGTGGACGTGTGAAGAAAGTGGCTGACTGCTACAGCAGACGGTGGTGGTAGTGCCAGTCAGGACTCTGAGACAGAAGAGCCAGGTACTGATGTACGTGTACGTAGGCCGATAGTAGCTCCATAGAAAGCTGTGACTAGTGACAGCCTTGTTCCTGTCTGCAGCTAAGCTAGTCTCACAACCCAGCCAGACCCTTCTAGGGTGGTGTATGGATTGCGAGACTACACTGCTAAGCCTTCTCATAGTAGTTAATAAGCCTCTCTGTGGGAGATTTATTAACCCTCTGTGGCATGCATTTTTCAGTTTTGCTATTGTTATTGGTTACCGGGTGTATTATATGGTAGGTCCAGGGCTGTGGACGACTCTAGTAGAATGTGGATGTCTCCACAGAGCTCTACTGGCTCTCATCTTCTCATGGACAGAAAAGCCAGTAAGTAGTACTACGTGCAACGTGTTGATGGGTACACAAGTTTCATGTAGAAATCGGGCACCTCTTACTGACAAATCGGATGAGCACTTCAAACGAGCTATGCACTGAGTGTTTGGGCATGCACTCTCACTGGCATATAGACTGCTTTCGGCATAATCACTCTCACTTGGCACTATAGACTGCTTCGGGCATAATTGGCGGGCAAATGAAGCCTCATTACATTGACATGCACGATGCTTATCGGTGAGTTGAGTGAGTCTACTTAGATGTTGACTACACGGGACTCCCACATAATGTTAGCGTAATATTTCCAGATGATGTTATGTGCGTGTGTGACTCGTGTGGCTTGCCAAATCTGTAGGCCTAGCAACAATTGTGCGTCAATGCGTTTCGTTGACAAAACACACCATGTATCTCTATACAGTCAGTGGAAGAAGTGGGGCGTATGTGTGTGTGCTGCTCAGACCTACCTGTGTCTCCTGAGGCTACCAGGTGTGTTTACTAGTTATCTCAGCTAACACTTGGGGAAGGAGGGAGGGAGAGATTTGCGGTGCACTTGTAACGAACGCGGTAGATTCTAGGAATTGCTTTTCTTCTCTTCACTGAGGCGGAGGAGGAGAGGAGGTAGAGAGATGTTGTGGTGCACTTGTAATAAACGCAGGAGATTTAAGGAACTGTTGCTAGTCTACTGTCTGACTATAACACACCCATCAAAAAGTATCATGACATTGTGTCCTCTTGTAATTGTTGTGTGTGTAGGAAGCACAGCTTTCAAGACATTCCAGCCGATCATTTTCCAGAAAGCATTGAATGTGGTTTATGTACTGTCTGGAACGAGAGCTGGACGAGGTATAGTAGACTGTCTTATTGTGTTTGTACAACCTACAATGCAGTGTATGGGGCCTATTTCCCCACAAAGCGGAAATATGTGTGAGTATAGTAAGTGCGGTAAACCGTGGCGCACGGATTAGCTTTGTGACTTAGGATTGTCATGACATGTCGTGCAGGTGAGGTAGGGGAAGGGGAGGGGAGGCGGAGAGGAGGAGGAGTGGAGAAGGAGGGAGGAAGGGAGAAGAGGAGAGACTGAGGGGAGTGGAGAGAGGGGCGAGGAGAGGGAGGAGGAGAGAGCATCGCTAATGGAGGACCAGCACTGATGATGTGATGCACAGGGCAGTGAGAGAGAAAGGACTCTCTTCTTACTCACTGACTGGGGTGGGTTGCAGGGCTGACTGTGTGTTCGCAAAGAGGATAGAAGAAAAGTTTGTGTCACGCAAAACGTTCGAGGATGAATAGACGAAATGTGATTATGTGCATTTAAATGGAATGTGTCAGTATATAAGGGGTAGAATTTAAAAAGAACGTTCACTAAAAGCCGCATTCTTTCACTGTGCCCTAAATGTTTGTTCTATCTTAGTAACATTTACATTTCTAAATTATATAAGCTCCAGAGATTATTGCTGAGGGACAATCAGCCTCACTAGGTGGTCCTAATAACAGCAAGCCTACTATCTTGGGGTCAAGAGTCCCCTGGGAAGTACACTTAGTTCTCTGCGCCCATGTCTTAGACACTGTGCCACATGAAAATGACACAACTTTAAAGTAGTTTGTGATTAAATATTTAGGGGGACAAACGAAGAGATAGATGGATGACTATGTCCCCTGGTGCATCTGGCGCCAGCTCTGTATAACTGCCAAGAGAGTGCTAAAATCAGTTGGTAAAAAGTTCTGCCCACATAGATCGCCACGATTATCCAGGTTCTCCCCCGACATCATGGTATTGGGAATTTGTGTTGTGCATGTTTCACTTCACTCTTTAGTGCTCTCCCCCAAAGTGCTAGTCTCGTGCCCAGACCACACCCACTCATCACGTGGGAAAGGGGTCTGGTAACATTTCTTGGTCTTACATCAAGAAATCGAGATCTCCAATCAGATCGCAGAATGGCCAATCAATGTTACGTCTATCCGTAGTACGCAGCTTTTGTAATCGGAGCCTCGTATGCATCACATAGTAAAGAGCGGTTGGATAATATGTTGCCGCTGGTGGTGACGTGTTCAGACCTGGTTTTGCGTCAATAGCTACCAGACGCTCCCTCCCTTGTGGGTGGAGGAGCGGCTGGTACTAGACTACCAGCAACCTGCTACCTGTGTACTGTATCTACAGGACCTGTTGGAGTTTACCAAGGCCTGTCCGTCTCTGTCTGTGGGGGAGACAGGGGCCAGGGAGCAGCTGGTGCAGGTGCACTTCACCTCTCACACAGCACACACGGGCACCACTCTCACCTCTCACATGCTACTCTCTCACAGTGAGGGAAGGACCCTAAATTAGGGAGTGGATACAGTGGAACCTCTGATATACAGGGACCCTCCGAGATAGGCACTACCTCTTTACTTGTATCAACTCCATGCTAATACTATTATTTTACCTTCGAGATACATAAGACGACCTCTCTACAAGGGACAAAATCATGGCCCATAGTGTCCCTTATTCGGAGGTTCCACTGTATTAGCCTCGTACCCAGGCCCTTCAAGTGGAGAAAAGTGGATACCAGACTCGTTCTTCTCCCCTGAAGACCTGGGTACGAGGCAAGGGAGGGGATTAGTTACCGAGATGTACACGAAGCATAGTGTAGGGCGCGGAATCAGTTCCTGTGTGTGTCTGTTCAATGGTTTCGTGGCGCTGTGGTGCTGGTGATGATGTGAGGTAGTGGCCTGGAGGATTCTGGCAGCCCTGGCACTGGGTCAGCGGAGGGAGATAAAAAATCTGTCACTGAGGTAATGCTATTCTCCTCCATAGCCAGACTCTTCTCTCTAGGAGAAAGAGTCTAATCCTAATTAGCGGGCCCCGGCTTCCAGAGGGGAAAGAGTGATATGTTGGGTGTGGTTTGCGCAAGTTTATGCATGACCGATCTACAAGCACTAGTTAGCACCACTCTTGAAGTTTGGGGTACTGTGCATGTCACTTGACCGTAATTTTACAACTGAGTCATGGCTAAACAAAACTATCAACGTCAGTGGACCAGACTTTTATTCCCAGCGAGTAACGAGTCTTCCTATGCGAGACTACCTACATACTAATCTTACGTCTTTTTCACATGATCATTGTCACAAGTAATCCGTCATTATGGCTTTGGAACCATTTGCAGGATTTTAGGTAATGTGCACTGACAGCATCGCGATAATAGTAGGAATGGAACCCCTCTCTAACACACTCACTGACAATTATGAGGACACCTCTCTAATAAATTTTCTTTCGCCACTAACATGCTTCTTGTACAGCCTGAACAAGCACACCTCACCAATTATGGACATTTCTTGTTAAACCTATGGTTAAATATCTAGATTGGAGGGGTGATCATCAAGCATACTGTCAGACATTAAGCTAAGATCACATTTAGCCAGTGGCTATAATACCACAAAACCATAGTTGGTGTGTGTTTGTGTCTTCAGATATATTCAGCTGCTGCCACTCGCTGAGGTGAAGGAGACGGCGGCACAGTGCCACGCACACCCTTCCTCATCTCCCTACCTCCCCACCATCACCTCTCCTCCAGCAATGCCACTGTCTCATCTGGTGAGGAACGATATGTGCAAACAGTATGATGGCGACTAGTAGTCCATTTTGATACAAGGACATGTATGTATATAGGTAGGTGTATGCACTTCTTCCTGGACCTGTTCAATCCTTTAACGTTTGCTCTACTCAAGAAGTGTCTTCTACTAAAAAACGTTGGCTGTGGCACATGCAGGACACTTTTTGTCACCCAGTATTAACTCTATGACAGCGAAAGCTGAGTTTTCTTGCATGTCTATCGTAAAAAGCGTTCATCTAAAACTGCTTACCTTAGAGCAGGTGTACGCGGCCAGGTTTTCTGCCATTGGCACGCATGCACACGCAGTGCTATTATTTTTGCTTATGTACCCGAGAATTAATCGCTGGAGGAACCATGTTTCTGTGCTAAGGTTTGCACTAGTAAGTTACTCATCAAGGATATACCTTCACGATCTATTCTCCCCTCCTCCCCTGCAGTCACCTAGTGGACAGAGTGGGAGAGCCGGTTTAGTACCACTGAAGGGTCTCGTTCCAACAGCTGTGTACAAAGACTCCCGACAGAGCAGAGATAGGACCAACGATGGCAATCGTGAGATTGTTAGTGTAGTTGGGCTATTGTTACATAATTATGAACATATCTAGCTGCCTCTCTGTTCTCCATGGACATTGGAGAAGTCCGTTTGGTGCCAAGGCACACCATACCACACTCATGCAGAAAACATCTGCCATCTAATGACCATCAGTGTAAAAGCTGCAGTCTTCAAAACTCAATATGCATGAATCACGGATTGTCAGCGTGCGAGGGTAGTGTATACCAAAACAGGACCAACTCGGAACTGCTCTGGGTGGGACTCAAAACCACGTCTCTGATACTAATTAGGAGAGAGAGCGCTGATCATACATACATTTTGTCTGGAGGAGGTGGGCAACACCTTGCACACTAATTTCCATGGTCTTTCCTCCGCAGACGGGGGTTGTAAGTTGCTGGAGTCAGTTTCCAGATCAGTTTTACTCTCAGCACTGAGTTGGCTCCCAGACTCGCCAGAAAACATCAAGGTAAATAGGTAGAACAAGTTGTACATACACTATAATATAGGCCAACAAATAATTGGAGGTGGTTACGCCTTCAGTCAAAGTTACTCATAAAGTTGGGGGATAAGGAGGGCATGGAGGCAAATATTTTTTCAATGGAGGAATAGTTCAACGCGACAATTGTGAACCGATCACACTTTTAACACACTACCAGACACGGATGTCAAGAGCTCCATAAGTCCGGTAATAATTTATATGGTAGGTTATAATACTAGGAGCTAGTACTTTATACATCATTTTCTGCGTATTTAGCAGATACCGAATGCGTCCAAATGGTTAAAACCGGCACTCACATGCCTGAAGTGTAGCCCAAGTGTTGTTTCGTGCTCAATTTGTAGGTACGTAACATGTAATGACTGACTTGGGATATTCTCCATCAACTGCAAGTCTAGTAAAATTGTGACTCCGTATGTTGTTCCACATGTGTACAGGTCAGCAATCGTGTGTTTGCAGTGGAGATGGTGTCGGAACTGCTCACACGCGCAGGACAACCAAGGAGGTATGTACTACGAGACACACTGGCTTTTACTTTTTCTTTGTCAGCGAGCGAAGCCAGCGAACTGAGTCGTCTGAATTCCCCGTTTTATTGCACATACCGTTTTACATAGTAACTCTTAATAATACACAAACCGCAACTGAAATCAATAGAGATGACCAATATATTCTAATTGAATTCGGAGCGTTAAGACAGTACAACAGGAGCAGTGCTATAGTATACTAGGACCGGACAGTGTATCTCGCGTGATGAGTCAAGAGGTGAGTGAAAAGTGTCATCTATCACTGCCAGGTTCTCTGTGAGCGAGAGGAGAGAAGTACGACTGCGCTACAAGTACTGGTCGAGAGATGGCCCTCTCTCGGTGCTCTGACAAGGCTCCCTCGTCAGTAGAACCTATCATTCATGGCAGATATATAATTAGATAATTGCCATTCCCTAAGTGTGACTAATGACATTCTTAAGCGTGACGGACGACGTACGTATAGCGCGAGAGCGAGAATACAGACCACCGGAGTCCAGGTAGTTGCCTCACGCTAATGCGCTCGGAACTTATACATACGAACGTGTATAGAGCACAGTTGGTGTCTGACTGGTTTACTGTACTGCTAGTATTTGAAGAACGTACACAGCATACGCAGTGAGAGAGAAACCTCAGAGATTGCACTTACCAATTCAGTTTGGATCAGACTCCACCAAATTTCTAAATTTTATCAGTTTTAAAAACTCTGCCATACATACACACAGCGAGAAACTCGAGGAGCAGTGAGTTTCTCAGTCTGGGAGCTGTTCACAACGGTTTTCTCTGCTCAAATCACGAACCATGACAGTTTCCCGCTGTGCGATGCGATGTTATATATGTTGAGTTGTATCATCACCGTCCAGTGTTCGAGGGAGGGCCCTGACGTGTGTCGCAGCTGCTGCCGGTAGTGAGAGGTCGGAGGTCGTGTCG